AATTTAACTCTGAAACGATTTTTCGCACATATCTTTGTTTGATGGAGAAACTAAAACTTAGGGTGCTTCCAAGCTGGTATAAGCTTAAGAGCGAACTTTCGCGTTTAAAATTTCTCTGCGTAGCATTTGGCTACTTACATTTAGTTTTAAATTTAAAATCCTACTTTGAGTTCAAGCCGTAACTGCTGGCTAATTTGTAAGCTTCAGGTGTGCTTTCTGTTCAACTTACTTAATTTTAAATAAAAAGGTCTTTTACACCCTTCTTTTGTTTTTGTTTTCATTTTAGACATAGCGATAAATTGCGCACAGTCTTATTGAGGATATGCGATTAGTTACATTCGATAAAGGCATATTCTTTACAGTTTGATAATTTTACATAACATAATTGTTAAAAGCAAAACAGTGATTATTCATTATTGAAAGATGATTTTTCAGTTGAATAATTTGATTGATAATGTGTAATTGAGACTAAAAATATTAAATTAAAACATTAAAAATTTAAAACCCATAAAAATTAATGAAACTAAAGGCAAAATATCATAGGGTTTAATAGCAACAAGATATTAAATAATTCTTTTTGCAAAATTCATTTGCAGTTTTATATCGAAAATAATAAAATCGTGGGCAAATAAATAACGAAACAGAACAACCGAATTGCATTGACGAGAGATTTTATTTTTAATAATGTCTGGGCCCTTCAACAGCCATTAGCCAGAAGTGGTGACCACTTCATTATGGAAGCGTCTAATAAGTGTCCACTGTTGCCCGCTATGAAGGAACGGACAGTTACAACCATGCCTTCTCCGGGATTCGAATCCGAGCCTGTCGCTACGGCAGTCAGGATCACTAACCACAATACTAGCTGCGCGGTACATTGCCAGTTGCGTAAACCATTATTTCTGCATATTTAACAAGGCTCTCCTGGGCTTTTATTATTCGTGATATAAAGTTGTAGATGAATTTCGTAAAGAGACTTGTTTACTCTCCGGCTTCCAGTCAGGGTCACAAAACACTACGTTGGCTGCGCGTTAGACACCAGGTGTTACAGTCCTCCGTAACCTACCTACCTACACTGGCTGCGCGGATCATTGCCAGTTGTTTAAGCCATTATTTCTATATATTTAACAAGGTTGGCCTGCGCTTTTATTGTTCGCGTTATAAAGTTGTAAATGAATTTCATAAAGAGAGTTATTTACTCTCTGGTTTCCAGAACACTATATCATAAATTAATCTCCTTTGTTTCGCAGTCAATAATTTTAACCTCTAATGACTGCTTAACATATTTGACATTTAGTTCATTAGTGAACTAGCTAACTGCAGTCTGCCGTGTTTAAAAATGAAAGATTAACTGGCAGAAGTTTCGTGCTTACTTCTACAAATTGTTTCCGTATTCAGCCTGTGGGCATGCCAATTCACAGTAAGTCCATTTCTGTCTGCCAAACAATCGTTCATCTTAAAGTACTAAAATAATCAACAGTATCTGTGAAACAAATATTAAAAAAATATACTGACGTTTGTTAGAAAAATGAGATATTTATGGAAATGCAACTTATCGTCTTAAAGCCCTAGGTTGTCGTGTGACACGTAGTGAAACCCTTGAATTTGTTCACCCCAAACTTTCTTTTATCTCCATGACGACAAAAGCATAAATAGCATAAACACTGCACGTGACAGAAGCACTCATTTCCATTTGCCAGCGTGAAAAAATGATTCTTAATCTTTGATAGCGTTATTTGTGGACTGGGTTGCAGCCTGAAAAAATTCTGATGACACGTACGTCCGTCATATGCAATTCGAAATTTATTTACGTTATATAGTATAATAGTTTACAAATGATGGATATCAAGATCAGTAGAGTTATGAGTTGAATCTTGTAAAAATAAATTCATATAACAGTTACTAGACCTCGTTACTTTCAGTCAGCTTTTGCATATAGTACATCCAGGGCGCAATTAAGGAAATCTTAGGCGCAGTATTTTTACGGATTGGGTTTCGTTTATTTAATCATGATAAAACACTTAAGGGATATCTGCCTAAGGAAAGAGACGCCTTCATGGAGGACTTTCTGAGGGAAACTGAATAGTATACACACTTTCTGATTGAAACTGGATGGTACACATGGGAAAAATCACGCAAATGCCCATGCAACTAGGCCATTCGCGGGGTCCGACATCGGACCGAACTACCAGAGCTTTTGATCGGGATTCTTTCTATATTAAGACTATCAGAAATTAAAAGATGATTTTTACGGTCTTCAAAAACTATTTTACAACATTGTTTTATAAACTAGACCAGAGTTTCTAAAATTTTTTCAGTCGCCATCCCTTTTTATTTTATCACCGAGATTTTTTCGCGACCCCCAGTACCCCATAATATTTACAAAAGTTTTGTGGGACCCCCATAAGTATTGCGCAAATCCGATACACGCGTGAGTGAAACTGTCAATGTTTTCACTTTGTAGGGTTTATATTTATTTTAACTAACATTTATTTTAAGTTTAAACTATCTTTCCTGTCAAGCCTTACTTTCCCCTGGAACTGGCAATGCCAGAGTATGTAAATTTTAGTAGAACGCGCAAAGATTCAAACTATCAGCGGAAGTATTCTGAGTTAAATAGAATGGAAACGAGTTCGAGGTGTGCTGTTCTTACTTCACGAGCGCGGAGGTAGTTAGCCAGAAATTGAAGAACCCCGCGTTTCGGCCTGTGTGCTTGCCTCGGAGAATTGTTAATCGTTCAACGTGATATTCAAAGTTTGCTGAATTAGCAGCGGTATTGTAAAACGCGGTGAGGTTAGTTACGTTTAGAGAGCCTCGTAGTTAGAGTCTTGTTATTATTTCTTTTCAAGTTCTTATTTTTATTTTACCACCGGGTCGGCGTAGTTTGTGAGCGTCAAGAGCACGCAATTGTAATTTCTTAAGTTGAATAGAAAGGGACTTAAACCCTTAGCAAGACTCTGTCTATTTTCCAGTTTCAACAGTCACCTCTTAGTTGCGTGCAGGTTGGAGGCGCGCAACTCTACAACTTGTACTGTAATATACTATTGCAGTTTTAGGTCATTAACTTTAATTTCTAATTTTAAGACATAGAACAATGTGAAAATTTTAACTAAGTAACAGACGAAATGACAGCGTCTCGTGTAAAGCAAGGGAAATTAACGCTTATATTATAAAAAGAATACGTTGAAACGTTTTCGTTTTTTTTCCTTTGTCTGTATTGTCTTATCATTATCTACTTTCAGATACATTGTGTAAAAATATTTTGTAATTGTAAAATTATTATAATAAATTAAAGAAATATCAAAGCTGCTAAAATTTTTGGTGACCCTTTGCTGCAGGCCCCGCGACTCCGTTGGGGGTTGCGACCCACAGTTTCAGAAACCCTAAACTAGACAATATTCAGAGACTGGGCATTTCATAGCAAAATAATCTGAGCTAGAACTTTAACTTACTTGTGCCAAGGCGCTTGATTGTTTTGCAGAAGTGTCAGATCTCAGTGATATTTTTTTTTGTTTGTAATTGTGTTAAATTCCATCTATAAACTATATGAGATGGCTTTCATTTCTTCTAATTAAAAAATTTGGCACTAAAAAAATTTGGCGTTTGGAAGATAATTTATATAAAGTGTGTTTCAAAACTAATAAATAAAACTTTCAAAGCTAATAAAACATACTAAAACAGGCATTTTATATCATAAAACAGCAAGGTCGCGCTGGAGAATGTCATTTAAAAAATTATATTCCTCCAACAAGATAAAAAAATTGGTGATAGGCTATCTCTTTTAATTTAAAGAGCGACTGGTGTTTAATGCGAAAGATTACTACCGGAAGTGTGAAGTTGTTATAGAACAAATAAAACAAACAAAAGATTTTACATTCACATATACTTTATTTTATTTCATTTTTTATTTATTATATTTATTCATTTAAACTCTCCCCGTGTAAAACTGGTCGACGGTGGTGGTGTATGGTGTATTTAATTATGGCAAAGCACACTAGGGCTATCTGCCTAAGGGGAGGGATGCCTTCGTGGAGGACTTTCTAAAAAACTGGTCGATGATATGAGAAATAAGCATAATTTAAGATGCCTGTAATTACATTTCTAGTAAATGCTAAATGTATAAATGGATTGTGAAATGTACTTGGATACTTACTTGGCTTCATATTGAGACTAAAATAATGTTTCATAGAATCAAATGCCTTTTCCATTTTGCATGAAATACCATCCGAATACACTAAAAGCAGTTTTCTTTAGAGTTTTGTCTTTGGACGTATTTACATAATACTTCCCATTGCCTTGTAACATAATAGTTAGGTATGTAGTAATAATTCCAAACAGATCCACAATCCAGATTATAGTTTTTCATGTGAATAAATTTTTTTGCATGGTTTTTAACGAACTTATCCATTCATCTATGTAGAACGTATCCATTCATCACTACATTCCATAAGCACTGGAAGTTTCTAAATGTGGACATTTTAATCTTTCATTCATTTACTTTGCAAGTTTGAGAAAGCATTTTTTAAAATACGCACTAAATTTATGATTTATTTGTAATTTATTATAATATTTCTTTCTTAATGTAAATTATTGGTAAATATTGAAAAATGTAGATTAGTTATTCTAATAAATAAAAAGGACATATTACATATATATTTATGTGTTTATTGGATTGTTAGGCAAATGAATGATATGAAAACGGTTTAGAAAACTGCTAAACAGGCAAAATGAAACAAAAGAATGAGAGGAAGAGGTATACGACGAGACCAAAACAACCTTCCAATGCGAATTCTGCAGTTTTAATTAAATGGAGAATTTTATTTCTGCTTGAGTCGGAAAAATTGTCCACATTGCTCTGTAGCCAGCAGTCTGACTGAGAAATATCTATTGTTTGCTATACGGCTTATTGTCGTCGCGTGATGATCGAAATCAGAGTCAAATTTTCAATAATGTCAGCCAAAATGATAATCAGTAACCATGGTGGTATAAAACAAGCAGACGATTTTGTGAATACATTGAGAGAGCAGGAAGACACAAAATCTGAACATCAGAAATTTTAGAGGTTACAATAGTCATGAAGTACCTGGTAAGTAATCCTGCTTTCTGTCTAATGTGTTATTATAACTGAAATGAACTATTTTCAGTGGTTAGAGTTACAGCTCATTTTATAATTTTTATCTGATTTTTATAAACAGGTTATTATAACATGCAAACTTTTCATATTATGGAAGTGATATTGGGTTGGCAAGAAAGTCATTTCTGCTTTTTAGTGTGAAATATAACTCATTATTTTCCATAAAAAATGAATGTTAATCAGTCAAATATTTCCCATTCTTTTCGATAAGCTTTTGCCATCGTTCTCTAACTTCATGATTCCACTGCCATAGAGCTTCTGGTCTCTATCAGCAAAAAGCTCAATCCAGTGCGATTTGAGGTCATTGTTATTATTGAAATTTTTACCATTTAAGAAGCTTTATAATCTTCGAAATAAAGGAAAATCCGATGGCGCAATGTCGGGGCTATACGGGAGAGTGCGATGTCACTTCCCAATCAAGCTCGCTCAAATTCGTACGTGTCGCTAGAGATGTGTGAAGTTTCTCATTGTCCTGGTCGAACACGATTCCTTTGCAATTTGCCAATTATGGCCTTTGACTGCTTCCTCCAGTTTCATAAATTGTTGGCAGTAAACGTATGAGATCATCGTTTGGTTGAAAACCTCTCAAAATATACATCCCATTCCTACTAAACTGACAGCATGATATTTTTCTGATGCAATTTGGCTATGATTTGTGCTGATTCATCATGTTGGACTATGATCTTTTTAAATTAATGCTACTGTAAACGATTTATTTTTCATTGCCAGCGCTAGTTCGTTTAAAAAAGGGGTCGATTTAATTTTCATTCAAAAAAAAGGGTTTGAAATGCGTATCGCAAATATTGAGGTTCTTAAACGAGTCCAAGACATCTTATGTGATTTTTTAATTGTCGTGCGAGATATATTTAAACCGTTTTTGTAATATCTTGCAGAGTTATATGACGACTCCATCTTTAATTTTCTCCTTAGCAGCTTCAGAAAGCAGGCCACAATGCTAGCTACCTTCAAGTGAAAACTCTCCAGAATGAAATTCCTTAAATCAGTTCTGACACAAGCGTACTATTAAACAATCAACAACATAAACTCACGTATCTTGTAAACTTCAGCTCCTTTCATGCCTTTATGAAAATAACAAAGCAAATATGTTGAAAATGCTTATTTTTGCCTTCCAATGTTAAAACTGATTGTAAACTAACAGTTAAAAACAAAAATACACGGAATATGCTTCAATAGCAATTAAAAGTGTCAGCTGATAAACCTAGAAAGAAATAAAATTATAAGATTGACGGAAGAATTATAAGGTATTTTATCCCCCCTTTCTGCATGCCTTCGCGGTGTAACGGTAGCGCACTCGGCGAGTTTTCAAGAGATTCAGGTTAGAGTTCAGGCGAGGGCATTGCAAATTTTTCACATCTGCTGCTTGGAAAAAAACCTAATGTCTCTACAGTGGCTTCCAAACTAAAAGGTGGGAGATGATGATTCTTCACCGCCAGGAATCAGCGATTGGGTCCCCTAATCCAAAGTCGCCCTTTGAAAGAGGAAGTATATAAGGTATAGGGGTATAGGGTATAGGAGGTACACTCAGACACTCCTGGCCACTCAGTAGCCTCATGGTCAGAAAAAAAGAGTGACCCCAAAAACGGAGTACGTAAGGTATTTTCTCCCTCCTCTCTGCATGCCTTCATGGTGTAACGGTAGCACACTCAGCGCGTATTCGAGTGGTCCATTTCGAGTCCCGGCTACGGTATCGCTAATTTGTCACGTCTCCAGCGTCACAAAATCCTAATAACTCTACAGAATAACAAAACGAACACAATGCTATCTATTTGCGAAAATCGAAATTAATTTCTTGACAACCCAATATTATTAGTTGCAATGAAATTACATAAATCCTCTAAACGAATAATCAATGGATAACATAGAACCCATTCCATACCAGAAGTAAATTTGGAGATCAATAAGCATTTGTTTGGATAATGATAGATGCATGAAACTTTTTAACTTGATAATATTTGAAGATAATATTACTGGAACGGCATTCATTTACCTACTTTAAGAAAGATTAACTTCAGATCTATTTCGCCATCTTATTATCCTATAACCGTGTTAAAATTAAAGCTCATAAACTTAACACTACGCGAAGGAATAAGGCAATGGAAATTTAATGAACTTCTTTTAAAATTTTACAGTTTGTTAGTCTGATATTTTTATCTATGAAGGTGACTTAAATACGAAATTTAATTTTATTTATTTGTAACTTCTTATTCTTTAAACATATCAAACGTCTCGCCTAAATGGAAGATGGCTAGAATACTTGCTTGATAAGTAATTGCCAATAGAATTCTTATTTAAGTAATTGCAAAATAATTGCATAATAGAAACAGGTAAAATCATGTGATATTTACTAAGTGTCAATGCTTATTTATTATAACTCAACCCAATGTAATGTCAAGAGCGAGAAAGATAAAAATGAAATATTTGACTAACGTAGCATTTCCTATATCAAGCCAATATATCTCTTACTAACTGAAGACCTTAAATTATTCTGAATTTTATCCACAGCATTAAAGTGGGTGATTTGACTGTTTAGTGGTATTAGATATATTGAATGCGAACACCGAGAATTATATAGCAATTATATGCAAGTACGTGACATATCGGAGTTTAAAAGTTTTTACTCATCTGGCTAGTGCACTTGTAAGATCTAATAGATCCACAAGATCTTGTGCAGCCATAAGATCTAATATCTAATCTATATGCCTAGAAAAGTGAAAAGCTTCTTTAAATCTCAAGTTATTGCGGTAATAAGAAGTTGTTTGAAAGAATATAATACAGAATTGAAAAGAACTGTATCCAAAAAAAAAAAAAAAAAAAAAAAAAATGTGACACTCAGATTCTGACAGAATGTAATGTTTTCTGAACCCCTCTTTTCTGTAAGAACTGCTGATTGTGAATCTTACAGAATTAACATTCACGGTCTGGGCAACTGCAGTAAATCATTCGACAAAAAGCACTCATTCTAAACTCTAAATTAAATGGCTCAGCTGTTTCCGCTGCATCATGAAAACCAAACTTCAATAGAATACATTATAAAACGTGTTTTGTTTAGCAATCAATCCACTTTCTTTGTCTTTTCCCCTTATGGAATTGTTTATGTGCAGAGAACTTCAAAGACATATGATCCAAAGTGTCTAAGGAACCGAGTGTACTTGGGTCATGGTATCATTCAAATCATTGGGGACACAGATAGTTCTGATGGCTCTTTCACTGTTTAGAATTAACGATGAATTCTGAAGAACCAAACTGAGCAGTTTTTCCAAATATCATACCCTATTGTGTATTAGGATGACAATGCACCAATTCACATCACAGAGTTGATGAATTAAAAGAATAGGTAATAATTTGAAGAACTGTAAAGTGACCTTGAAAGTCTTCCATGTCTTACACTTTCTCATGATTTCAACATTATTAAACCTACTGTAAATTTTCTAGAGGACGAAGTTAGAAAACGTTTTCATCCTCCACAATCAACGAATGAACCAGCCACTGGTTTTCAAGACGAATGGCTTAAAATACCTTAGACTAGATTAAGTCTTTTATCTGTAATTCCCAAAGAGAATGGCTGAAAGGTTGGTCTCCAAAAGTGCCTCACCCTCCACTATGTTTGTGAAATATAACATTCTATTTTTGCAGTACTTTGCAGATATTTCATTTTTTATAGAAGAAATGTTCTTTCTAGTGGGAAAAAAAGATACATTTGCGGATTTTGATTGGCTGAAAATATACAACAAGTAATAGATTAAGACCAGAGCTCTATAAAATATGAACAAGACTTTGTGCTACTTCCGTAGACATCTTTTCGTTCCAAATTTTCAGTAGAAAAGACATTATGTATGGCTTCAGTGTTATTATCATCACTAATCTGTGCTCATCTACACAATATTCGCTCTTATACAAGTTAAAGATAGATGGTTAGGTAGTTACATATCGTGACGATTTTTTTCATAGCTCAGCTGTTTTGCATAATTTTTTCAAAGTTCATGCTTGTGTATTTAGAAATTAGAAGAGATGCAGCAGAGTAAAATTCAAAACCAACAATCGTTAGTTTCTCTTTAATTGCACACTGTACAATTATTTAACCAATTTTAAACTATTCAATGATTAATTGTAACAAATGATTGTTAATTAGTTGCACTGACGATCAGGCACATAAAACCAGGTAACATACTAACTTTACTGCGTTTTCAGAAACTTTAAGCAGGAGTGATTAAATTCTGAATTTGAAAATAGGAAATGTAATTAATTACTATTTAATGAAAAAGTCTGATGTGGATACCACGTGACTTTTGGCCGATTAAACTATACCCATCTATTGTAGCACTCCATTTAAGCTTGTTTCCTCGAAATATTCTAACTTAGTTAACCGATCTCTCAAGGCAAGTTCAAGGCGGCATCAAATATTGCAAATTTTGAAATTAAATACCACGGCCAATGTTTTCGAACGGGAATTAAAATTCTTATAACTTTATTTCTTCACAACGAGTATAAAAGTTCCCTAAATATAAGTACAGGAATACGGAGATGATATTAAAAGTTAGATTTTGTTATTTATCCAGAAAATTTTTTTTTAAATTTGAAATTGCTCAAACATGAATATTTTCGTCATTTGAAACACGTTTGAACTGGAAGGACATGACTACGGAAAACGATTGTGGAAAAAAAAAAAAAAAAAAAAAAAAAAGAAAAGCCGGGTAAGGCGGTTTAGGTATATATATTTTTGGTTCTGCCTAATGCAATAAAAAAGGGGAGTGCACAAATAGATGTTGTAACAGTTCCATGTATACAAAATTTCTACTTTCTAAGGTTAATCGTTTTTGATTTATGCGAAATATATACATACGTACGTTCAGACGTCACGCAAAAATGCACATTTAATTCATTTTAAATCCCTTGTGAAAAAAAAAAGAGTTTTTAATTTTGTTCGTACGTCCAGACATCACGCTGAAAGCAGACCAAATGGATTCGGGAACGGTCAAAATGAATATTTCGATTGAAATATGATACCCAAAATGTTTCTCAACTGCAATACTTCCTTTACTTTGCAAGCAAGTAAAAGAAAGGAAATTATTATCTTCCATTACTTGCGAAAGAGAAGGAAGAATAGAAAGAGATTTATTTGAAAGGAAACGAATAAAATGTTAAAGAAGACAAACAATTATTTAATAATCGAAATAATATCTGCGGATGCGTAAAATGTTTTTGATATTTCTGGGAATCGTTAATATTTCTTATGGCAAATGAGCAAATGATTTTTAGTATAATTTTCTAATTGTAGCAGTAAATTACTTATAGCATATTATCTAATTAAAAAGTATATATGCTTAGGCATAATATTATTAAAGTTCAAATAATTAATAATTAATTAATGTATTTTCTACCAAATGTTATGTGCATGAGCTACAGATACCAATTATTGCCCTCTTGACATTCAAAACATTTATAATCCTTAACCTTTCAGTTTCGTATCAGTAGCCTGGCAAATTACTAGTTCTCAAAGTTATTGCCATTCGACATTCTGTAAGATCATTAATTTATTTTTGAAATTAAAAGCCCATTACTTGACTGAGTATTTGAAAAGCAATGTGTGCACACTTCTCATGAATTTGTAATTTTATTTGATATTCCTAATGGATGTATGTTATAATGTATCTAATTTACACGATCTGAACTATATTTAATTGATAACCTTTATACATATTTTTTTCTGTTACATGATTTAATAAAATATGTTTCTAACGTTATATATGTTTTATGTATCTGGCACATAATAATCATTTGCGAGCATAATGACAACGAACTTTTATATATTTTTAAGAATCTGTCTTCTGAATTACGACGGATAATCTTGAAAAGCTGTCAAAATAGCATTGACGACTCTTTTAGCAGTTGGTGACCATGGAAAACTTGTATATTTGTCAAAGGTGACTGGATTGAAAGAAATATGTTATAAAGCTGTTAATGTTCTTAATTTACAGATCATCCTTTTACTCGTCGTGGTTGCAGTAACTGGCCAGAAGGGAAAGCCACTCGGTAAAGGATATGGACGGCCACCTGTGAGGTTCGTTCCTGCTGCTTTTCCACGTGGTTCCGTCTCACGCGATGTATACGCCGCATCTCTGGGTGGTGCTCCAGTCGGACTGTATGGCAAATCATCCGGTTTAGGCAGAGGATTTGGAACTGGGTTTGGCAACTCTGATGTTTCTGGTGCGGCTCTAGGAGGTGCTAAAGTCGGACTGTATGGTAAAGAACGCCCAGGACAAAAAGTAATAGGATGAATAGTAGATTTTTAAATGGTAAGTTTCTGTGGAGTAAATTAATTTAGTAATACAGGTCACATTTTTGTTCCCTTTTGGTTGATTAATACAGCATTCATATGAATAGGTAGTTCGTCGGCTAATTGGTTATGTTGAAACGCTTGAGAATGCCTACATGCTTTTTAAGGAAAACTATCTCATATTTATGTAGGAAAATAAAGTAACAAAATCCTATGCAGCTAGTCCTTTCCCTTGGAACCGAATCCAAGTCCATTCTTTAGCGGTCTTTCAACAACAAGGCAAAGATAGTCAGCATCATCTACTGAAAAGCTATACTGTATTATTTCATACAGGAGAGCTGAAATGATTCCATTTCCTTCTTAGCTTTCTGCAAAAGAAATGTAAACATTAGCTGACCAAGGACCATGCATACAGTTTTCTGCTGTTCAGAGAGTAAATTACATAAGTAAATTGTAAAAGTTAGTAAGAGAGTAAATTACCTGCAAATAAATACCTGCGAAATAAATTGAAGAAAATGATGATATATTCAGTGAAGGAGGGAAATAATCTCTGTAACGGGGAGCTGCATAAAATTCGAAACCCCTGCGAATTTAAAATTATTGTTGTAATGCTTTTACATTTCAGAGTGACTATATTATACTGCTAAATTAAAACGTGTGCATGCAAGATATAAAATATGAAAGACAATTATTAACTTTCTAAGGATTATGTTAATTTTATTAACAGTTAAATTTTGAGTTAAACTTCCTTTCCTATCGATTCTTAATTTCTACTTACCACTTCCGGCTAGAACGTAGTTTTAGAATCACGTCTGAATGCTAATGAGGAAGAGCGGTATTAACCATGAAGCTCTGCAGCCTTAGGGAGAGAGATACCAGATATTCTGGCTGCATGCGTCCGCCTTTTTAGGTTACTCTCTCGTAAGCCATTATTACGTTCGGCCCTTGAGGATAGCTTCGCAGTCAATTAGCGTTAAGGGGCCAACTCTATTAGAATCTTGATAGCTTCTGCTATATCTCTTTAGTTAAGATTAGTTTAGTTTAATTCTTAGTCTCTTAAGTTCAAGCCCAAGTGTCGGCTTTATTGTACAACTCCAAGACGGAGTTTTGTTAAACTTTAAATGAATAATAAAGGTTTATTTCACCCTTCTTACTTATTGTTTCCTGTACACGAATTTAAGTGATTATTCGTTTACTAGTTCTTAAGAGTTTTCACTTTCAACTGTAACTTAGAATTACACAGTGGGGAATCCTACAACTTTAATTTTGGTAATAGTCCTTTTAATTCCTCATTTTAATTTCGTTATCTTCCCTTTGATTATCCCCCTAAAGGTAGAAATTATTTATAATATTGTTTATAATAATATTTTACGAGCTATTTCTTTCCAAAGTAATCCGTTTCATGTTTGCTTATGTACTCTTGCTGCTATGCGCTAAGCGTTCAACCAATCAGATCAAGCAAATTATTTTACTATATATCTAGCGCTCTGCTAATTCGTACTCCTCTTTCTACCACACTTGCTTCTTCTTAGATATGTCGCTTTCCTCTATCTGCCTATCATCTAAAGGAATTAAGTTACATAAAATAGTAGGATGCATAGCGTACTCATAATGGGGATGTGTAATGAAAAAGAATATGTGTCCTAAGAATTATTTATCAAGGAATAAAATTAGGTTTTGGAAGCCCCGTCTGTCTTCAGGTGTCATCCGTTTACCTACGCAGTAAAGAATTTCCGAAAGATTTTGAAGCAACAGAAACATCACCAATCCATTGCAGCTATTCTCGAATTATCTCATTACACACACACATATATATATATATATATATAAATACTGGTTAGCAAAATTAAGAGAATTGCAAATTATATCAAGTTTCTGAAAAACTAAAGGAGACATTTTTATGAAATTTCGTATGAACATACATTTGTAACAGAGAAAAATTGTACCATTCAATGATTCTCAGTAAAGGTCATAGTGTGGAAATGTCCTAAATCCACGTTGTGATACCGAATTGAAAATGAGTCTAATACGGGGTATGGTCCCCTCTCACAGCCAGAGAAATCGCGCAGCGTGACGTCCTACTGCACAAGACTCAGTTAAGGAGTCCTTTGGCAGTCGATTTCACTCCTGCAGCAAGTACTCCTGGAACTCCCGGAAGGTTCTCAGAGAGAACTGGCGAGATGTTACTGTCCTCCCAAGAACGTCCCAGACATGCTGTACGGGGTTAAGGTTGGGAAGTTTAGCTGGCCAATGTATGCGGCAAATATTCTTCCTTTCCACGTAATCGTCGATCAGCTGAGCCTATGTGGACAAGCGTTGTCGTCCATTAACAGCAACTCAATCAGGAACAGTGGCGCCTCTGAAATTCGAACAAGGTTACATTCTTCGAAGTAACTTAGCATTCTTTTCAACGATGCAATATATATATAATGAAAAGCAAATAATAGATATAATATTTATCACATATTAAATTCGAAATAAATCATATGCAAAAAATCAAAAACCAAAAGAACATTGGCAAACTACAAGAAAAGGTGCAAAACACCAAAAATGAATAAAGAAATTTATATCGTTCGCTGCTTCATCATCAGGGGCTTGGCGCAACGGAAAAAGTAAATTAATCAGCCTCTTTCTGAACTAAGAAAAACGCAAATTAAAGGTTAAAATAATCTCAGAGAAACAATAAAAGTAATCTACATCTTTATCAGTCCAAACATCATTTGTTCCTGCTTTCAGCGCGCAACTGGATTTAGATTTTCAAATACCTTATTACTGTAAATAAAATACTGTATTTATTCTGTATAAATAAGTACTGTATAAGTAAAATACTGTATTTTATGTAAAATTAAAATACTGTATTTTATGTAAAATTAAAATACTGTAGTTACTCATATAATATATATATGTTACCGTGAAAGACCAAAATTGGAGAATGTCGACTTTCACCGGAGAATGTCAACATTCACCAAATACGTCGGTGAAAGATCGAATATTGCATTACATTCTTGTACATTCGGACCCTCACCGGCGTATGTCGACAATCACAGATATGCTCTGGTGTAGGTCGAAAAGAGAGGGAGTATATGTACACGCTTGTCATTTAAAAGAAAGTGTTCCACAAATAAATACAGTTGTAAAAGCAAGGGCCTCTTGTGCAATTCAAAGTGTCATACTAGTTTAAGTTATTGCAATAAATAAGATTTGAATCACATAATTTAGTAAGTTTTTAACTTCTATTATTTTCCTTTCTCACTGTGTGTTTAAAGTTCTTCTGTTCTTAAGTTCTTATTTTAAGTTTCAAGTGCGTTTTTTCGCGACTGAATTACGGAGAAGAAAATGTAATATTCTTATATGTTCAACATTCACCATTAGTACATAGTGAATGTCGACATTTACCGGTGTAAGTCAGAAATAAGAGTATTTGGAAAACATTTCGAACATACACCAAGAGACTATGTGAATATTGACATTCTCCAGATTTCGGTGTTTCACCGTAACGTATATACACATATTTAAACGAAAACTGGGAAGTGGTAGAGGAGCATAAAATATTTCTTAAAGAGGAGCGTAACTCTTAAAAGTTCGACCAAAGAAATCTATTAAATATGAATATATACAGCTATTAAAATTAAATCAATAAATTTAGGGTATTAATATATTTTCATTGTTGTAAATGTATATGTATTTTATAATCTTATAATACGGATAAAATATTGTGTGAATTTCATTTCAGAAAAGTGAGCAACATCAAAGTGAATATGGAATTGAAAGAAGCCACAGAATATGGACCTCTCTAAACATGTAAAATAAAAAAATGTTTCGAATTGAAAAAAATGGAATGTTGAATATGGACCTCTCTAAACATGTAAAATAAAAAAATGTTTCGAACTGAAAAAAATTGTGTTTCAAGTCTTTAATTACTGTAGTGTATTAACAATACTGGCTTTTAATTTATTTCCTTTATCTTCTTAATTACCAAGCATTAAAGTACTGCATATAATAAATATAAATCAATTGGGCACACTTACATTCGGATAACTTCGACATTCCTAAAGTAAAAATAACAAATAAAAATAATAATAAAATTATAAAAAAGAATATTATCACTCGCTGAGCTCGCAGTGTACCATTCTGTTGTTGCGTTCCTCTTACTAACCCATTATTTTTGTCTTTTTATTATTAAGCATAATTTTTTTTTTTTTTGCACATACGCCATATGCAATTCAACAGCAAAATTACAAAAATTTTGAAAGCTGCATAGCAGTAATACGTTTAGAACTCCCAATGTAGCGTTAAGTTCAACAGCAAAATCGCAAAATATTTGAATTCCGATAGACAGTCCAGCTCGCTGAGAGAAAAAAAAAAAAAAATTCCGTACAGTGTTGCCACTGTTCGCTTTGAAATTGTTGAGTTTGTCTATCAAAAATTATTTAAGGTTTTATAAAATATGAAACAGATAATAAAATAAGTTCGATATTCAAAATGCGGGCTTCCAGGTGCCCGTGTTTTGGTGGAGGACTACGTTATTCAAAATTTAATAGCTCTAGGTACGATTATTTTTTCGCAATGCGAGAAACATATCTACATTCATGCAGATTCTTCATCACTTATTTTTTTTAAATATAGTACATAAAGATAATATTTTCTGGCAACAATCTGAAAAGTCATACAAGTCATTAAAGTGTTTCGATGCAAAATGCCTTTTCGAAATCAGGACTAACGTCACTTTTAGGTTAAAAATAAAGATAAAAAAATAGAAATAATTTGAGAAACGTGCGTGTAATATTTTAACTAGAAATTAATTTTTGGTTTCCGAACTAAAAATGTATTATTATTGTAAAATATTTGTTGCACAATTTCACAGATCAGAATTATATTAATAAAGAACAATATTTATGAACAAAATGTTGACTTGCACTTCCTTCAGTTGGATTCTTAGCATTATATTACGAGGTTTTAACGAAACGATTGTAGTAAAATAATTTTAAATGAGCTCCAAATCTATTTATAGGACCACCAAAAAGCAGTAACAAATAATTCCGCAAATAAATTAACACTTTACACGTATAAAATACTTTTATCAGAGAATGCACTATTTCTCTATACTTAAAAATATTATCTTAAATATCGTATGTGTGAGATAAAATTATTCTGTCATTTTTATCAAAGCATTTCTAAAGTATAAAAATACAAGATCTCTAATAACTGTCTCGTTTGTAAACAAATATTGCAAGATTTGAATTTTTTAAAATTCTTAATTTAAATGTTCAAGATAAAGTACAGAATATCTCGGAATATACAGAATATACAAAATACAAGATCTCTAATAACTGTCTCGTTTGTAAACAAATATTGCAAGATTTGAATTTTCTAAAATTCTTAATTTAAATGTTCAAGATAAAGTACAGAATATCTCGGAATATCTCGGAATATACAGAATATGTAGTCAATTTATTAACTAAGAAGTTCCTCAATATTTGAGGTATCTCACATGAAAACAAGTTTAATAGGGCTATGCAAGAACAAATATTATTTTCTTGTATTTTATAACACTTATAATTTTCTCAGAAATTTGTGCCCTTATAGATATGCAGTTTAAAGAAGTTTGATGACAACTGCCTTTTGCTGCATTTACAACAAGTGTAATTATAAAAGTATGAATAACATAAAATCACATTTAGTTGCACGCACTGTCAAAATATTCAGCATTTAACTCGTTATTCATTGTAACATAAGACACAACTCTAAAATCTGACAATTTGGTTGAATTAATATACCTATATTTATGCAATAAGGGTTTGTACGGAATTTTGCCAAATTCCCTACAAACAGACAAAACAATGAAATAATAAACAAGAACGAATGCAGACGTCTAGAACTTAACTTTATACCCTTCAATATTGTGTCTAATCACAGAAAACATTACAGTTGCATTAGGTGGAAAACAATTGTTTAGTACGAAATTTCTACAACTACGGATTAAGTAAAACTTGTATAATTAAGTACTTTGATAAATGGCCAATTTACAAACAAATGTAGAAAGGAAAAATGTAAACGAATGCAGAAAGAAAGTAAAAGGGAAAAATATATTAATTAAAATAAACAGAAAACCTCTGTTAGAGTAAAAAGTAAAAATTAGTTAAACATAATCTAAAAAATGAATTTTCAAAATATATAAGCATTAGAACAGCAGAATAGACATTGAATTTTCATTTAAACTGCAAACTGTATTCATTATTCATCACTGTTTTGCACAGTAAAATTCATCGCATTAATATTTGAAGATAATTTTTAGTAATAATAAGAGTGATATGTACCAATAATTTCAATACAGTTTGCAACAATTTAAATACAAAAATATTTAGATTATTTTGAGTTATGTATTATTTAAGACTCTCTTTACGGAAAAAAAAAAAATTGCGTGAAGCAATGCTAACTTATAGCTATTATTCATTGAGGAAGGTTTTAGCAGTATTTAATAAAGGTTCTGAAAAACGTGAATTTTCATCAGACGTTTTGTTAAAAATTTTCACTTGAAACTAATTTGATAAGGGTATTAACGAAGACAATTTAAACAGATTTTCATTTTTATACGACATATTATAAGAGCAGTGACTTATTTTATCTATTTTCAGCCGTAAAACTAATTTTAGATTGCAAGGAGTTATTACTTTACCTTTGTGTGCTCACGTTGTCTAAGCGGGTAGCACGTTCAGCTAGCAAAAAGAAGATTTGAGATTACAGTTCCAGCGAAACCACAGATGTTTTTTCACGTTTTCTCGTAAATACCTTTTCTGCTTAATAATCTCTACAGTGGCTATTGAACCCCCCCAAAAAAAAAGGCTCTTACAGCGTCAATCGAACCAAGGCTGAGCTAAACAATAGCTCGTTCCCATTTGGTCGACTGAGTCTCGTACTTCTCCGAAGTAAGTTAGAAGAAGTCTCAAGTCTTTAATTACTGTAGTGTATTAACAATACTGGCTTTTAATTTATTTCCTTTATCTTCTTAATTACCAAGCATTAAACTACTGCATATAATAAATATAAATCAATTGGTGCACACTTACATTGGGATAACTTCGACATTCCTAAAGTAAAAGTAATAAATAAAATAAATAATAAAATAAATAAAAAATAAAAAAATAAAAAAAAATCTGAAATGTTTCAGATTTTAAATTACGTCCAAAGGGGCGTTTTTTTAACATTTTGTGTGTTACCTTTCTTTATTAAATATCATGTTCCTCGCACTTAAACCATAAGATCCAGTGCAACAGCAATATCGCAAAATAGTTTTAAAAACGAGCATATCTTAGAGAATTTCCGATACAGAGACTCACGCGCTGGAGATAAAAAAATTTTTTTTTCTGCACAACGTTTGCCATTGCTCGCTTTGAAATCCTTGAGTTTGTTAATCAAAAATTCGTCAAAGTTTTAAAAAAAATAGGAAATCGATCATAAAACAAATTTCAAATTTCAAATTTGGTCTTCCACATGCTCATATTCGTTGGAGGATTACGTTATTCAAAATTCGATGACTCTATGTACCGTTGTTTTATCACAATACGAGAAATATACATACATTTATGCAGATTTTTCATTATTTAATTTCTTCAAATATAATGCAGGACTCTAACATTTTGTGGCAACAGTTTGAAAAGTGAACCGACATTTATGAGTCCGACGCAAAATGCCAAAACGAAACTGATAGTCCTTCGGGATTCAAATCCCTTTGGACTAAAAAAAAAAAAAAAAAAAAAAATATTCTCTCTCGCTGAGCTCGCAGTGTACCATTCTGCTGTTGCGTTCCTCTTACTTTAAGTCCGAAAAAGTTATTCTTTAAGTTATAAGGTCTCCCGCCTTCTTGGCATGCCTTCGTGGTACAGTGGTCAGCACACTCGCATTCGAGAGTCTTCGAGAGGTCCGTGGTTTGAGTCCCGGCGAGGGCATTGCTCATTTTTCATGTCTCCTGCTTCGAAATAAGCTAATGTCTCTACAATGGCTCCCGAACTGAAAGGGTGATGGATGATGATTCTCCACCACCAGAATTTGGCGATTGGGTCCCCTAATCCCCAGACGCCCTTTAAAAGGGGGAATATATAAAGTATTTTTCACGCCTCCTTGATATGCCTTCGTGGTGTAGTGATCAGCACATTCATATTCGAGAGTCTTCGAGAGGTCCGTGGTTCAAGTCCCAACGAAGGCATTGATCATTTTTTATGTCTCCTGCTTCGAAATAACCTAATATCTCTGCAAAGTGTAAGGGAATATAAGACAATATCACTTTCCCTCTTGTATGTTTTTATAATATAAGTCGTTAACTTATCATGACAAAGTATGGATGTGAGCTTCTTTCAGAGACTTACTTATAAAAAAAGCTTCGTTCAGAGACTTACTTATAAAAAAAAGCTTCGTTCAGAGATAAGACGATTTGTTGCATTTATTTGTATACATATATAATTAATAATTTCTTAGTCATTAAACTTAATTGTGGATTTCCTGTCCAATATACATTAAATGCTCATAAACTGAGGCATCCCATTATAATGAGGAAAAAAAATTGTCCTTTGCACGGCAAGTACTTTTCAGAATATTTTCTTTCAGCATTTCTATTATTCAGATTTTGAAAGGGTTCGTCACTTAATCTCTTGATTGTTGCTAACAGTAATCAACTTAAACTCTTGATGGTTGCTACTCACAACTTGCAGAAGCTCGATACAGACAACACACTTCTTAAAGACTATTTCATATTATAGTTCTGAAAAAACTAGTTTTTTGCAGAAAACCTCAAGGCTATCCGGAATGCAATTAGAAATTTATTGATAGTA